ATTTTGAATGCATTCAGAACATTTTTTTCACAAAGAGATAGGTTACTTTGAGTATTAATAAGGATATCAGGAAATATGATGAAATGCAAGATGAAATTATTAGTAACATGCCTTTTGATTAAGCCATCTCGTAATCGGCTTTGTTAAAAAAAAAAAAAAACAAATAAAAGTTTAAGATCGTAAAAAATGTAAAATATGTTACAATAGGAAACTATTTATTATAGAAAAAAGGCACTTGGAGTGTAAGAAGAGATATCAAAGTATATTAAATAATATAATAGTCTATTATGTAATAAAATAATTCTATACTAAGCCATCGTACAAACTTAAAGCCTTAACAATTGTAGGATCTTGTTTTGAGCCCTCTTTAAATTCTTCTATACTAAGTTTACCGTCGTTATTCTAAAAATGAAAGTTGTAATCAGAATACGTGATATTCAAAAAATTATAAATTATAATCGACAGGAAAGAAATGCATACTTTGTCCATCATTGTAAATATTTTATTGACACGTTTTTCGGGTGTATCCTCGTCAGCCGGTAATTTTACCATACTACCAACCATTTTATATATAGCATCTACAATTCTTAACATTTCTTCGTGCGTTATATAGCCATCATTATCTATGTCGTAAAGATGAAATGCCCCTATTTATTAAAAATAAGAATGAGTACCATGTCCATGTATGTATGAGGAAACTTTAAAGCATCAACGCACATAATAATTTATCGTCCAATTTTCCTCGGGTAGTGACAGAAAGTGCACATATGAATTCTTTGAAATCTATTTTCCCATTCTTGTCTTCATCGAAGACATCAAACACATATTCAGCAAACCGGGAAGGATCTCCAAATGGAAAAAATTGCCTATATATCTTTTGAAACTCGGTTTTGTCAAGTTCTCCAGTTGGACAATCTTTTATGAACCCTTTATACCTAATGTTCCAAGGGGTTTATTAGTAAAAGTTTGCTCAATGTAAAGAAGGAATTTTGATCCTGATATAACTTTTCCTTACCATAGTTGAAGTTCATTTTTGTTAACTTTGAGAAAAGTGAGTCAGTATTAGATAATTATAATTCTGTATACGAAAAACTGCATCAAGCAAGAAATACATACAATAGGTACACTTTTGCAATTCTCGAAGTTGTTCTTCGCTGAGTTTACTGTTAGATTTGCCCATATTTTTTTTCGAAAATGAAAAATGAAAAGTAATCAAAAGTCGAACAACATCATCGACCATATATATTTAAGTTTTGTCCAATCAGAATATAGTGTGACATATCTTTCCACAGGAAGGTTCTTATGGAAAATTCTTTGTCAACCTTATGATTTCGCCAAGAATAAAAGAAAAATGTTCAGATGATCGCTTTGATGATATATTGATGAAAAAAAAAAGACTGTATATCGAAAAAGATCGGTGACAGTACATCATAAAACATTTAAATTTGAATTTAGGGAACAGTCAATCTGCCGAAAACAATATTAACATACGCATATGTATTGTTAATTAATATTCCAAATAGAAACAATCGTGGCAAAATATTTATTTGGTATATACTATATTAATTTAGTTATTATTATAAATAATAGAGCTTTAATTATGTTTAAAACTTGGTTATATTATAAATATAATCTATAAAAACTATTTAGATTTATTTATTAAACAAAATAAAATCTTAACTAGATATCAATAACAATTCTAATGAAATAAAGGTCCTAGTATCAATTTATTAGAAAAATAAAATATTGTTCTTTAGTTTTGTCAATATAAATTATTTCAAAAAATAATAAATTGTTAAAATAAGATATTGGAGAAAAAAAAAAAAAAACAATTTATATTTTTTAAATCTTTGTTCAAAAAGAATTTGACTTATCAAAATATATTTTAACTTTGAATCATTTGAAAAACTTAACTACTTCTAAATAAAGAGATTTTAAGAAAAATATTTAAGAAACTTATTTTTTTACTAATATATAAAATTTATTACATTATATCAATATTAATATTATATTATAGTAAAATTTATCTAATTGAAATAAAAAAATCTTTTCAAAAATTTAGTTTAATTAAGATAAAAACTTTAAGATCTCAATTTTTATTTTAAAAAAGTTTTTTATTTTTTGAAAAACTTGTTAAGAAATAAAAATTCTATATTTATATTTTTTACTTATCTTTTGATATTATAATTGTTTTTCTTAAAGAACTTATTTAGTTGAAAAATAAATATTAAGAATTTTTTTTTTTTATTATCAATTATAATTATAATTAATAAGAGTTTATTTATATTTCAAAAATAAATATATTTTATATCAATTAATTATATTTAATAAATATTATACTATTAAAAAATTTGGAGGTAACTGATTTAAGTAAAATTTATCAAAAAATTATAAAAATAATAGCTTTAAGAAAATAATAATATTTTGTAAAAAGAAAAATAAGTTCTATTATTGTAACAAATTTTTATAAAATTTGTTTCAAAAATAAAGAAAATCTTCAAGTATTTTATAATTATTTTTTTTAAATACTTTTTTGTTATTAATAGTAAAGATATTATATTACTTGACTTTTTTTTTTTTAATTTTCAAAAGTCTAATTTTTGATCAAAAAGATTTGTAAACAAAAAAAAAAAACTTTAAAAAAAATTTTTAAATTGTTTTAAAAATAATAATAAAACTTTATTAATTAAGAAGTTTAAAAACTTTTGATAAAAAAATTTTTTATATATGATCAAAGAATCAATAAAAAAGTTTTTAGTATATAAAAAATTTTCTTTAAAATATTTTAAATTATAAACAAATAATAAAAATAAAAAAAAATTTTTTTAAAAAAATTCTTTTTATTAATTCTTTGATTATATATAAAAAAAATATTTATAAAAAGTTTTTTATTTTATTACTAATAAAATTTTAATATTTTTCTATAAATAACTTTATTAATAGCTTTATAAATCACTTATATCTTTTTTTAATTTTTTTTATCCAAAAACTTGATTTTTGATTATCAAAAATAAGTCAAGTAATATTTTTAATATCAATAGCAAGAAAGTTCTTAAAAAAAAAATTAATTATAAAATATTTTAAAATCTTTCAATTTTGAAATATATTATATAAATATTTTTTATAATAAAAAGACTTATTTTTTTTTTTGATTATTTATATTTTCTTAAAGCTTTTACTTTCATAATTTTTTGAAAAATTAAATTTTTAAGTAACATAATTATTATAATAAATGATTAATTGATATAAAACATATTTATTTATAAAA